TCTGTGGGCTTCCGTGGGGTCAAGAAAATATCCGGACGGCAGCCCCCGGTGACTAGAGCCAGACCTGTGGCAGCCAACCCCAAAAACCCACTAGCCTCGCAGGATTCCATCTGCTCCAAGCCTTAAATCTGAAGGGCGGTCTTGCACAGATTTTGGAATTCCAACCTGCATGGCGCATAGAAACAGAATCAGCCAACTGCACATTTCTTATACTGCCCGCGTGGTTTGCTGCGATTTGGCGTGGCGATTCTGACGTGCCCACCCCTCAGATCCGTGCTGACGTTGAAGATCTGTTCTGCACCACATGTCTTTCCAGGCCAATGTCTTTGGCATCCCTTCTCAGCCTTGGGCGGAAGGAGGAGCCTGCAAAGCCTCGCGCCCAGGGACATACGGAGTTGAACCATTCGGCTTGTCCAAGCTTGCCTCCCACCGGCTTCCAGCACCCTTTTGACGGGTGCAACTAAACAGGTTCGTCGACAAAACGCTGGTCTTTAGCACGCAAGGAAACATTGGCTGAAACCACTCCATGGCGCGCTTGGAGGGCAAGTTCAAGCCACTGTGGGTCAAACACGGAAACGTGTCTCACGAGTTGGTCCCTCCAAATGAGCAACGCCCAAAAACCCCACGATGTTTTCTTTCTCTTTTTCCAAAGCCATTTCCTAAATGGCTTCCATGAGAGGAAATCCTGCATCGCGAAAGCTCGCGAACGTTTTCCGAAAGCTCGTGCTGCGAAAGCTTGCGCTACCTGTGCGTTCAGAAAGCGCTTGGGGCAGGCAGCGCGCGAAAAGGGACAAGCTGTTTGCCAGTTTCGAGAATGCGGGCAGAAGCTCCGTGAATGGCCCAGGTCCAGCATCCAAGAGGTATATAGCCCTTTTTGCACACCATTCTTCAACTGAAGGTTGAGGGTGTTGAGCTGGAGCTGCCGAAGCGCACTTGGTGCTACGCTTGTTCTGGAAAATTGTGATTTTCAAGCTGGAGGTACCAAAGTGTACTTTGGTGTGCTATTCTTGTGCTGACAAGTTTGCCCTGCTAGTTTTAAGGAGCCACCACGAAAGCGCCGCGAAAGGGTTCATACAAAACAAGCCGCCGCGAAAGGAAACCCGCGAAATCTTCGCTGAAGCTCTGTGAAGGAGAGCTATGCGTGTTCCAACTCTCGACCGGTTTTAAGCACCGCTCAAAGTGCACCATGTTCCCGATTCCCTTCAACAAATCCCAAACGAAGGCGCTGACTCGTTCTCATGCATGGCGAACTTCATTTTCAGGGCCGCTCCGAAAGGTTTTCCCATCAATTCCCACGTTTTCCCCGAGGGGCCCAAAAAGGGGCCCCAAATCAAAATCCCCCGCGCCAGCTGCTGGCGACGCACGGAGGCCTGCGCCGCCTGAGAAGCCGAAGCTTGAGGAGACAAAGTCGGCCGCGCGCTGAGACGCCAGGTGGACAGGGCAGAGGGGGCCCTTCGCGGGCGGGGTGTCTTAGGTTGCATGAATGCAAGGGTCCTTTTGTGGATGTCGTGGGAAGGGGTTCCAAGAGGAAGCAACAGATTTACTATTTTTTTTGGTGCGAAAGGCAACGTCCAGAGGGATACCCTTCTGGAGGAGGCAAAATGAAACCGAACAGGATCCCCTTCAAGCGCTGATGCATTTGCTCTTATATTTCTTGTCGGCTGGATGCGCTGCTGAGGCCACCACTCCTTCGGCCAGCATATTCCAGAATGAGGAGGACATTTTGGGGGTTCGCATGTTTCCTTTTTGTTTTCCTTTCGGAGTTTGAGCATCACCTTTTGGTTGAGGAGTTTCCTTGTGGTGGGGTGATGTTGAAAGAGACATTGCAGTTTTCAGAGTGCCTTTGCGCTGGTGACAATCATGCCCTGGAGGATAGGAAGCTTGCCCTGGAGCTTGCAGAGAAGCAGGCGATATGGGGGACAACTCGCACGCCGCCTTTTCGTAACATGCTTGAGCCATCTGCAAAGTGTCGGCATTCGCGACCTTTGTGGGCGAGTTCATGGGAGTCTTATTGAGGCCGACCTGCTGAGTGAAGAGGCGCACGTTGGAAGGGAGGCTTGCAAAGTTGCCGAAAACGGGGGCCCGCGCGCCAGATGCTGATAAAGGAGGCTGAAGAGGAAGCCGCCAAGGAAAGAGAGATAGAAGAAGCTGCCAAGGCGCTTGTCCTTGTCACTGTTCCTCTTGCTCTTCGAGTTATATACTTGCATCTCAGGCAGCAGCAGCCTTAGCTCAAAAGCAGAGGCTTGCGGCTGCGCAGAGTGGCGCTAGTCCATTCACGTCAGGAGGCCTTGCCCCGAGTGAGCCGTGTTTGCCGCTTCCCAAAAGACAAGTCGGAATGCACACGCATAAGCGCATACGGCGCGAAGTGGTGCGCGCGCGAGGCCGCCCATTTACCCCCGGAGTTTTCATTTGTGATGAAAGAAACGCCTGGAAGCCTCCAGGCTGGCTAGGCGGGTTCGTTTCCAAGTGCAATTGGATGCTCGCGATTGGCTTCATTGACAGGCGGGATGTCCTATACGCCCAGCATGCAGGATGGGGGCGCAACAAAGCGCAGCATCAAGACATAGACATCTAAGCGTGCACTCCTCCGCCACCCTCAGCCCCCCCCAAAAAAAGACAACAACAACAAACAAACACAAACAACACACAATAAGAAAAGAAAAGGAAAGCCGGCAATCCTTGTCTTCGCAGTTTGCACCATGGCTGCAACATGCGATCGCCAGGACTGGTGGCCACAAGGCGTGTCCCTGCCCGCTGCTTGCCGAAATTTTGTGGGGTCGGCGGAAGCCATTCTGGTCCTGAAACCCTGTTGAGTCTTCCATATGTTGCGAAGCACGCGAATCTGGGGAATGCTTCTGCAATCTTGCCCTCCGAAGTTACACAATTCCCTTGAGGCTTGCACTGTTACCCGGCTGAGGCAGCTTTTCACTCTGGCCAGCCTCAGTTCAGGATGCTGAATCCAGCATGGGGAGAGTACCTTGTCTGCAAATAGTGTCATCCCAATCAATCTTGTTCCCCTCGGAAACTTCATTTGGCAGAGCTGTTTGGGTCCCAGCAAGTGAGTGCGAATAAATCGAAAATGGGTTGGCCGCGCTAGGTGGGGCCGGATGCCAATGAAAGCAGCACCAGCTTATATGCCCCCCACATATCAAGCCGACCCTCCTCAGCGGCCGAGTCTTGGATGGCAAGGTTGGGCTGAGGGCGTGTGCCAATATGCAGCAATCCTCTGACAAGGGAATGAAATCCAGGTGAGCTACCGCCAAAAGGGTCGGAACAAGGGATATGTATTGGAGTGGAATAGGGTGCAACACCCCCAAAAACGAAGGTGAGTCTTTACACATGGTGCTTCCACATTTTCAAGGTGGGGCCAAATCTGCGCCAAGGCCGGTCAAGATTCCACCCCGTGAGCGATCCAGATCGCGAGAGCGTGCGCCCGCCCCACAAGCACCACCAGCACCACCAGCACCACCTCAGGGTGCTCAGGGCGCTCAGGGCGGTCCGGGTGGTCAGGGTGGTCAAGGTGGTCAAGGTGGCTGGGAAGGGCAGAATGGCGAATGGACGCCGGGCAGCTAGACGGCAATGAGTCATGCAGTCATGCATTTCTGCAATCGGCTGGTTCGGGAGCAAACCTGGCGAGCCGCTTTTGTCAAGGCGCTGGCGGCGATCAAGACTGGTCTTGGCCTCAAGTGTGCAAAGATTGTTGGAAGCTGCTTGATCTTCAAGACTGCGATGGGTCAGGTCGGGCCATGGGAAGGGAGGCAGGGAACATTCTGCAAGACCTGATTCGAAGATAGAAGAGATGTACTGCCGGTCTGCCCTGCAAGGTGCCTGGGGTGCCTACCCAGGCAAAGGCTACGGCTACTATGAAGGCAACGGCTACGGCTACTGAGCCCGAGCGCATTGACCGCTGACCAGGGGGTGTAATGTCAGCCGTGCATACCTCAGAATAGGAGCATGGAAGAACTGCTGACACTCTCCCCAGTGATAGCTGAAGTGTAAACGTGCCCTATGATGCCGCGATGTGGAAACAGAGCTGGCCGCGTTGCATCACAGTCAAAGTGCGAGGGTTCTCAAAGAACAGCGCCCTCATGAGACTCACATTGTTGTGAACCTGTGCACCCAGCGCAGTGGCAATATTTTTTTACTTGGAGAACAGTCTTCAGACTACCGTGTTGTTCATTGCCAAGCTCAACCAACCCTTTTGCCCTGTTGCCCATTGCCGTTTGGGGTTCCTTCATTCTCTCTGTTCTCCAGCAACTAGTTATTTGTTTGAGGGGGTTCTACCGTAAGTCTGGCCATGTGTTGAAGGGACAGTGACACTCGGATCTTTAGGTTGTCACCCGGCACGTATGGTTCCGACGGAGCCAGGCTGGCTTTGCTCGGCCTTAAGTTTCTGCATGACTTGGGCATGGCAAACCTTGTTCAGTTCCAGGATGTCTTTTTCTTTTAGCTTATTGGGAAAGCGTGGCTGACCGTGGGTCAGAGTTGCCCCGACAAGGCATCCCTCCTTTGCCTTTGGCATCGCACGGACCGCAGTGCGACACGCCAGCGAAAAGTATAGCTTTTGCAGTGCCATGATTGGGTTCGTTTCAGGTTGTCGCCGGCCAACTTCCATGCAGCACCAGCTGTTTGCCGAGAATGGGCCGCCGCTTCCTTTCATGGAACTTGCGGCCTCGCGCCAGATCCGTGCGCCGAGGCTGAGCACGCAAGCTAGTGTTCCAGGCGCGTGCACGAGACGGTTTGTGACTTTCTGCCGCCCGCGTGCCGGGTCGGAATCCGGAGCACGACTCACAACCTCATTTCCTGCTAGATGGGCATCGCTCCAAGAGGCACTACAGGCTGTGCAGGACCAATTGGGCCCAACAGACTGCAGCTAGTGGACATGCTGTAGGCCCGATCTTTGTTCTGTGGAAGCCAGCCGGGTGGACAGTACGGGCATGGCATGCGCTCACGCTTTGTGGAGCGACGTGTTGGGCATTTGGCCAAGGTTTCAGTATCGC